CAAATTGAAATGCAAATAAATTTATTAAACATACTATTTTAGCATTGGTATGTTATGTGTGCTGAAATCGTTCTTTAAAATTAGGAAGTCATTGACATTGGAAATTAATCTGTCGACCTAATCATTATTTTAAAACTCCTTTTTTAATATCAACTTGTTCTTGATTATTTATAGAAACATTAAATAAGCTAATAAACATGCAAAATTTGATTCATATTTGTATGATATATTTTATATTCAGTCATACGACGACAGTGTAAGCTATTTTATTTTTCTAGACGTATTCATAAATCGCTTTTGGACTAGATTACTGGGTCGGTCCTTTGTTCAAATTCCCTTGAGAGATCGTGGATGAAAGGGCCGTCCAGCGCTTCTAAATTTTCATTAGTGGTCTAGCTTAACTCATTAATTCAACTTTGTTTTCATAGATGCTAAGCTTTATATTAAGGACCATCATTGTCATTTCATCTTCAGAAATCGTTTGTAAAATGTAAAATGCAACAGACTATTCTAAATGAGGTATTCAAATACAACGTTATCACTGTAATAACAATATCAATAATTTTCAAACGTTTGTTCACATAAACGTGATGGTTAATCAATCTTTTTATCCAAAATATGTTGCAACATGTCTCTGGTACTTTAAAATAGTTTATGACGTAATATCACTCTGTATTTACAGTTTCTCAATATACTTTAAATCGATATTGATCTTTCATTTGTAATCTATTTTCCTTTTGATTTATTACACAGTTTTAAATACTTCAGAACACTTCTGTTCTGGACCTATGTGTACTGAATTACTATAAATACGAACGCATATCTTGAATAGTTACCATCCTCGTAACGAAAAGCTATCCTCACTGAATTATCGATTGCTTCTTCTTTAAAAATATATTTACTTATAAAATCTATAAACAATTGAAACGTCTTTGCTTGTACAATATTGTGAACATTTTGTTTTATTCATATAGTTTTCTTATACAGGAGGTTGGTCGCAGCCCAGATAGCACAGTGGTAACGTCTCTGACTATGAAGCTGGGTGACACGGGATCGAATCCGTCAGGGAGCACCAGCTACCTCAAGATTACAGGTACACCTTGCTGACGAGTGCCAAGTAGCACTAAGACCGAGTCCAGGGTTTCCTGTTCACTACCACCATCTTATCTCTACATAGTGCACGCGATGTCGAGTCATCTAGACTAGTGGCCACATTGCAACTTGGTCGATAGCATTCGATTCGCACTAAGGAGGACTTGACACACACGACAATAATCACCACCCAATGATCAATCAATTGTTATATAGTTTCATTATACATTTGGGCAAGTGATGTGCAAATAAATTCTAGTTCATAATTATAAAAAAGTTTACATAGGCTTTACTAATTAATAAGTTGTTGAGACTCATTAAACGGATGGTTTCAGGAGACTTCAGTTGAATGTTACCAGACAGTGAAAGTAATGACATGTGTAACCTAAGTTACTGGAAGAGTTTTCTTTCTCAAATGAAAAGTGTTTTCATAAATTAAGAGTATCTTTATGTCAATTTTATCTCGAATATATTTTAAAATCAATGAATTCTCGTTGTAATTAACACAGATCATAACTTTGGTATAAATGTAACAGATGTTCATCATACAGTAAAAGTATATTTTAACATAGTTATCCGTCAGTTATTTGTAAATTAGGATAAAGAGATTAGTTTGCATATTTAATGTAAGTTAATCAATTAATTAAATAAACCAAAGTTATAAATCAATGAAATAATTTGAGAATGTTTTATTTAGCTTATTCAGACTATGGTCTTTAAGAATAAGCGAATGATGAGGTCAAGTAGCCTGTACTTAGCTTGTTTTCTAAAGTTAGGTGAAGTGTACTCTGGAAAACTTAACCAGTTATATAATAACCAAGTATTTTCATGGATGACTAGAGTAATATTGAACTTGTCAATTTATGAAGAAAACAATTTCTTTTATACAAAATTAGCCGAATTAAGCAATGCATCTACTAAGGATATATTTGACTCTATTAAAGTAACAACTTTGTAGATATGTTGTTTACTTAACAAAGCAGTCAATTTAGTAAAATGGAGGTAATGTTGTGTAGGAAAAATACGGTTTTTCCAAATGTAAATTAATAAACCATATTTAAGGTTTTATTATTATGGCTACTAGAATAACTGACTTATGATATAAGTTATAGTGAGAATCACTGCAAACTCTTTTCATTTGCATATATATATATATATATATATATATATATATATATATATATATATACGGCGAATATTTTAGTACTCAACTCATTAATTTCACGGGTATTGTATGTAGGTCCTAACTGTACTAAATTTAACCCTACAGAACAAACCCTTGTCCCATAACGATATCATACTTTCTGTTAAATATTAAATAGGAGTGGAAAGTCTTATGTCAAAAAAGATTTTTGTCTTATAAGTAGGACTGTAGATTAATGATTATGAGCAAACGCTACATAGCTAATTATAATTTGATTTATAGTTTGTAAAACAACATTCATGAAATAAAGGAGACAACATTTTGATAAACGAAGCGTGACAATCTTCCTTTTCTCGCGCCTTTTCTTTCTCTATATATCTGTTTATTAAGAATTATCGTATGTATCTCGGCACAACAACAAATTCTATTTAATCCGGATCATCAGGAACTTTTTCTTTAATAGTTAAATAAATGCCGCTATGTACAAAAAGTTGGAGTCATTTGTTAGCTATCGGTGTAATCATGATAATACGTGGTTAAAAAGAATTTTCCGCCTATTTAGTAATTCATCAAGTCGTTTTCATACTGTCAGTAGCTTAGTGTATAGAATCTTTGAAGTAGAATTTTTAGCTAACTATTTGTTAAAATCATAAACTTGGATGTGCATATAGAGATAAAATGTCAAAATGATTACTTTCTGATAACCGTGAAACGGTTAATAATAATAGTTATCTATGATACCTCTTATGAGTTCCAAACCGTTGAACTGCGTATTTTGTATAATTTTTTGCCAGCATTACAACTTCATTGACAGCATATATTAAATAACAAGAAGAAGACAACATAATACTGAATACTACTGTGTTATTGAATGATTGAAATATGCTTTTCATAGTCGATGTACAATCTTATTCATTTTAATTTTTGTTCAAATGTAAATGTTTAAAATAACCTAAGAATTTAAAAATAAATAAAGCTATAATTATTATTGAGAGTGTGAGGTTATACATATTACAACTAATTTAAATAATTATCAGTATATGGATGTGGAGATTATTAAGTTTTTGATTGAGATCATGAATCAATTGAAAACCTGGAAGCACTGGATATCCGTTTCGTCCTATTATGGAACTCCTCGACAGTGCGCGTCCACGATCCCGTCTCGTGATATTCGAACTCAAAACATATCGGTCTCACGCGAGAAAGCTTAATCTCTAGACTACTGAGCCGGCATACAACGATGTTAATATCTAACCTAAACCAATCCACTATCTTCCATTGTACTGAGGTAGATACTTGTTTCTACCCTACACGGATTAGCTCACTAGTGACTGGCTTCGTGAGAGAAGTCTCGGAATTCTAATGAGAAGCCGTGACCATGTTTAAGTTAGACAATTTACTAGTTTTAATTAGTACGTGAGTTCAATAATAATAATGATAATAATTTGGTTTTTCTATAATTAATTATAATCATTACATTTATTCATGTGTTATCATTGTTAAGATTCTTCTCTATTATTTAATGGCTTAAAAATAGAAAAGTATATTTATTTAATACACTTAAGTATTTGTTACATTTCAGTTATTATTTTTTCTACGGTTATTTTTTTAAAACAATGAATGGCCTTTTTTTCCTGAATATGTCATTTAATTGCATTCTTGTAATTTAGAAAAAAATAAGGTAAATTAATTTCTTTTATGTAATGTATCAAGTGAAAACTGTGTTTTGAACTCATGACAAGATCTGAATGAAATAGAATTCATTTGTTTTATTACGTTCTACTACTTGACTTCTGGAGAAATAGTAGCGATTCAATTCGGTATATTCCTTGGATTTTACTAATTATGTAAATTGTTTTTGAGGAAAACATATAACAGAGCTTTTTATTCTTAGACACTTTTAAATACTAAATACCGACGTCTCTCAATATAAAAATACATAGATAGTGGCTAGCAATGGAATCCAGGACGCGCGTTTCGTCCTATCTGGGAATCAGCAGCCGGATGTACCTGTATTTCAGAGTTGATTTCCACTCTGAGACTCGAACCCAGATGCAAGTACATCCAGCCGAAGAGTTCCAAAAAGGATGAAACGCGTATTCTAGATTCTACTGCTAGCCATCATCCATCGTTGCTTAGAATGCTTGTGAATTAAGGCAATATCGAGGCAATACGCATGGTATACACACATGCCAATAAGAGACTGATCAATTGCGATCCTAAACATCAAGAGGTAAATTTAAGTTGACAATACCAAGTGAATTTTCTTTAAGGATAGTTTATAATTTATAATTAGAAACCTTTGATTCACCACAAAATCTTTAGTATCTATGATATCTATTTATGTTTGAATGTTGCTTTCCTACTTAAAGTATTGCTAATAATCCTGAAGTTAAGTCTAATATACTTTTTTTCTTTTTAAAGAAAAATTTTAAGTTTGATAAAGGATTTTTCAAAGTCAAATATGTATATTTAATAACAGAGAGAAATAGACATGTAAAATCACATTTTACATAATTAATTTAACTGTGTAGTATGATTCAATGTCTAAGTTTATGTATAATTGAAAATGAACTTGTCTTTCTTCATTAATCCTCGTAATTCACAATAGAAATTGTACGTCCACTATTATATCTCACCATAACATAACATGTATTGAGATATTTAAAACATAATCCAATATAATCGGTTATTACATCATAATGATATGCAATTATGATGAAACGGAATACTCCACTGAATAACCAATAAGAATATTTCATATTCAAACTTGTAATGTATGAATTGATGTTGCAGTCGTTTTGTTCTTCTTGTCTTTTTTAACGTATTCACGACAATACGGGACACATGAAAATGCTGTATAAAATCCTTTACGAAACCTGTTTTGTTTTAGTTTATTGGTAACACGGAAGAAAATAGTTGAGATTCAATTTTGAGCAGTTGATATTTGTCAGTTTTATAATGAAAAGGAGAAAAAAACACAAAGTTATATTATTAGCAAGAAAAAATCCTTGGACAAAATAACATTAGAGGAATGAATATAACTATAACTGATTAGGGATCTGATGCAAAGGCGCAATCGACAAAGCAAGAGCAGCATATCTACAATTGAAGAAAATCTGGAATTTAAAACAGCTGTCAACCAACACCAAAGTCAGAATTTTCTATACAAATGTCAAGAAAGTTCTACTGTATGTAGCGAAAACTTGGAGAACTACAAAACCCATCATCCAGAAGATACAAGTATCTATTAAAAACTGTCTACGAAAAAATAAAATGAATGATCTTTCATATTTGTAACATAATATATAATCAAATCTAAGATTATTAAATTTACTTACTTACTTACTTACGCCTGTTACTCCCAATGGAGCATAGGCCGCCGACCAGCATTCTCCAACCCACTCTGTCCTGGGCCTTCTTTTCTAGTTCCATCCAATTCTTGTTCATTTTTCTCATATCTATCTCCATTTCTCGGCGTAATGTATTCTTTGGTCTTCCTCTCTTCCTTCGACCTTGAGGGTTCCATATGAGGGCTTGTCTTGTGACGCAGTTCGGTGCTTTCCTCAATGTGTGTCCTATCCACTTCCAGCGCTTCTTCCTGATTTCTTCCTCCACTGGGATCTGATTTGTTCTCTCCCACAGTAGGTTGTTGCTTATAGTGTCCGGCCAACGGATCCGAAGTATTTTGCGTAGACAACTGTTAATAAACACCTGTGTGTTTTGGACGATGGATTTCGTAGTTTTCCAGGTTTCCGCCCCATACAGTAGAACTGTCTTGACATTTGTATTGAAAATTCTGACTTTGGTGTTGGTTGCTAATTGTTTTGAGTCCCAGATATTCTTCAGTTGTAGATATGCTGGTCTTGCTTTGCCAATCCGTGCCTTCACATCTGCATCAGATCCACCGTGTTCATCGATGATACTGCCCAAATATGTAAAGGTTTTTACATCTTCCAAAGCTTCTCCGTCAATTGTGATTGGATTGGTACATGTTGTGTTGTATCGAAGAATCTTGCTTTTCCCTTTGTGTATATTGAGACCTAATTATTAAATTTGCTGTCAGTTAAATAAGTGTCTTTTTCATTTCCATATTTGCTACATGAAATATTCATATATATTTTCAGCACATAATTATTAGTTCTGTCTAATTTATTCAATTCGTAGTACAAGAGATAACATTTTATTGTTCATTCACATGGAAAACAAATCTGTATATTACAGTGTAAAATGTACTTGGGTACTCGCATGGAATATCGATTCGGTTGAAATTGAGTTTCATTTTCTAAAACAATCAATGATTTCACGAAAATAACTTTAAAATCATTAACTATTTAGCGCTTATTATATTAAACATAGAAAGGTCTATGGTGACGTATATTCCGTGATTTTTTGTAACCATATTTTGCTCAATATCTGTTGTTTTTCTGCATCACTTATTTAAAAAACGATGATAATTGTTTTGAAAAATTGAATATACTTTTACTACCGCGCTGATTGAAATATAGCACGTTATCTACGTCGTCTGCCCTTCTGCTTTATTGTCCACGGCCTTTGACCGAAGACTATAATAGTGTTATAATACCCTTTTAGGCCTTCCTACACTACGTTGGTATTTTGGCCTGGATTACTATTACATAATACTACTGGACTCTGTCTTTCTCATCACGCCGTCGGTGCCATCATTCACAGGGGAATCTACATTAATCAAGTGGATATATTTGTAGTTGTCATCCCAGAGAGCAGCCTTCAAGTAACATTCATTCCTTAATAATTGTTATTATCATATTGCTCAATAATATACCATTTGTATTATAACTAAACTGTTAACCTTGGTCTTACTCGTACACAGACACTTAAGGTTTTTGCTGTTAACTTTTTATGGTATATTATTATTAACTTAGTGTATAGATGTATATTCAATAACCTCTATTTGCTGGGGTCATATAGATATTTTATATACTGAAACGTAGCTCCTAACTGTACGTAAAAATCATATTTAGATAAGAAACCAGAACCGAACGGTAGATATTGAGTTTGAGGGAGGGTTATCCGTGACTGTAAAATACCGTTTATAAAAATAAAAATTTGACAACATAATGTGGAATGTACTATTGTTTACTGACGAAATGATCAGTTCATTAGTTTTACTAAAAACTGCTTAGTGTTTTAGCGTTTTGTTGGCAAGTTAGTTTTCTACGGGGTGGGGTCGTTCACCCCATGCTCAACTCTCCTCTTTTATCCGGGCTTGGAGCTGGCAGTAGCCCTAGAAGTTTTAGTTTGCATAATGTTCTCATGGTTAATGACAAATAGTTTATAGATGAGAAGTATCTAAATAAACGGTTTGAAAGAAATGAGCATCTTTGAACCTGCCTCGCGAGATTCCAATCCACATTCTCGCACTTCAGTGCTTAACCATTGAGCCGGCATCCAACAGTGTTAATATCTAACTTCAACTAACACACGAAATTGTGCCACCGTCTACCATTGTCATCACTGAGTTGATATCTCATAACAGACCCAGTTGCAAGAAAACAGTTGAAAATTTCAAATTATGTTAGAAGCACTTTAAATCTAGAAACCAGTTTAAATGTTCAGTCGTTTATAAAAAAATATTTGATCCATATGCAATATGTTTTTGATACTTTAAATTTATAATCACTTTACATTATATTCATATTTTATTGTCTTTAAAACTATTGTATAGTTTTGTGTATAGTCACACAGATTACTTTCATATTTCCCTAATCAAACACGGATATTTTACTCCACAATGTAAAGTTTCTAATTTATGAATTCATTTCTAACCATCGAACTTAATCCCTGGATACCTATTTTGTATATATCAAAGAAAATTCTTGTTTTTAATTTATAAAACAATCTAAAGATGATTATTTTTATTCATTTCAGTTTAACCCTTTATTATTTTGAAATTTCCCACGTATTGAAAATTCCTTTGAAACTTTATGTGAATAATAATAAATGGACAACAAACTAGGTAACTACATTATCAATTTGAAAGTATGGAAAAGATTTTCTTTTATTCGTCAGTGAATACAAATGAATGAATATACTCATGTTGAAAACGATTGTTGCCAAGTATCAAAAAAGAAAAACTTTTAATAGATTTCATCATTCAAATGAAGGAATCATTTCAAAACTAAGAAACATCAACTTTTGTAAATAAGTAATATGTATCTACTTGCGTTTTCGAAATCAACAAAAAATGTAAACTAAATTCAATAACTAGATAATACCATCTAAATCATTTCCTGTATGAATCAAATTCTGCTTCAATAGTCCATCATCGTATGTACAAACTCATTTCTCTAATTCCTCATCGAATAAGATTTTCATAAAATAATCACTTATTATCTCTGATCACAACGTCATGTGTTATCGTAACCAACACCAACGTCAGAATTTTCAATACAAATGTCAAGAGAGTTCTACTGTATGTGGCGGAAACTTGGAGAACTACAAAAGCCATCATCCAGAAGACACAAGTGTTTGTTAACAGTTGTCTACGCAAAATACTTCGGATCCGTTGACCAGACACTATCAGCAACAACCTACTATGTGAGAGAACAAACCACATCCCAGTGGAGGAGGAATATTGGGAAGAAGAGCTGGAAGTGGATAGGACACACATTGAGAAAGGCACCCAACTGCGTCACAAGGCCATCCCTCACTTGGAATCCTCAAGGCCAAAGGAAAAGAGGAAGACTAAAGAACACATTATGGCGAGAAATGGTGACAGACATGAGAAGAATTAACAACAATTGGAAGGCCCAGAACAAAATGAGTTAGAGAATGCTGGTCAGTGGCCTATGCTCCATTGGGAGTAACAGGCGTAACTAAGTAAGGGAATAAGTAAGTAAGTAACAATGACACGTATTGTTTTGAATTGATGTCATAATTCAGACTAAATACCGCAATATAATTATAATTAGTGAAATACTTTTTCAGTTCAATATAAAAATGTAGTATTTGTGAATTGTGACACAATAATGATGATTAATTCAATGTTTATTATTCTACAAATGAGCAATATATATATTCTGTTACTTATATTAATACAAATAATAACAAAATGTTGATAATCAATAAACGTTAATAGAAGATGATTGAAATAAGTAAAAGGGATTAATTGATATCAATGTATTGCGTTTAGATGACTTAATTAAGATCAATGCAATATACTCATTGTACAACTCTTCATTGAAGTAGTCTTTGTTATTTGATAACATAAATAAAGTGATTAAAAATTTTTTTCAAGTTTCAGATCAGAAGATTAAAATAATGAGATTTTATGATTAAGTGACTCATGATCTTAATGTTTGAAATTACTACAATCTCCACAAAACCCCTTCTGATAATAAAGTGAATATTATTAAATATGTTGGTTACAAGTTTCGGTTTTTTTTAATATTTTTTGTTACAGAAAAAATGAAGAGAAACAAATTATTTCTATTATGAAGCATATAATTCTACTTTTTTGAACGTAAAATTAATTATCAGTATGGGGTTGTTGCTGAGAAGTTCTATACTAGGACGAAACGGTCGTCCAGTTCTTTCAGGTTTTCAATGATGATCTCACGTTAATCGATTCATGATCTCAATTAAAAACTCAACCATCTCTACAACCTCATATGGACAATTATCATGTACTTACTAGTGACTAACTATGAGAGGAAATTCTCAGAGTTCTATTGAACAGTCGTGACCAGTAGAGCTAATCCGTGTCATGTACAGACAGGTATCAACCTCAGACAATCGAAGATGGTGTCGTTATTTCATGGATTGGTTGTAGTTAGACACTAACATCATTAGATACCGACTCAGTGGAGATAGAATTCTAAAAACGTATTTTAAGGTTAGCAAATTTTTCTTTTATAATATACATCAATGGAGCGTAAAACTATAAGTCAAAGCAATGATTTATTATTTCAAAAACCACTTACAAATAAAGTAAATTACTTTATCTAACTAGAAATCTTTTGTATTTAGATCAGATCTGTGAATAATTGGAATACCTGTTAAAGTTAAATGCATGAGCCGGTTCTTTTAATTGTTTTTACTTAAGTTGTGAATAACACACACATAGCTTGTTGATTTTGACTAACATTTACAAAAGAATAAATTTAGTAGATTGTATGTTTAATGACTGTACATTTTTTGTGTGGCTATCAAAATGCAATCACACTGATTATATACCATTAGGATTTAACAAAAAGAATCATTCATTCTTTTAAAAAAAAATCATTCAGGGAGCTGAGATCTGCGATCGTTTTGGATTGCTATTGATATACATATGTCGCCGATCCTCGTATATTATTATCGACTTATATCGCGTTGGTGAATTACGTAATTAAATAAGTCAAATACAACAATGAAGTTTAAATGCGTATATTTCATACAATCGTTGATCTGAACAGACAATCGATCGGAGAAACCAAGCGAAGAAAGCGAAGTGAAATGAGGCGCGGTTGAGAAGGCGTGTGAGCCTATTTAACTTAACCAAGCGTGAATCCATATTTATAGTCTGACAAAAATAAGTTACAGACATGTGATGAGCTGGATAAGAAATGCACACATACACACGCTTACATAAAATGTCAAGTTTGATAAGCGAATAATTAACAAGGTCAAAAATATGACTCATGAAGAATGAATAAATTGATCTGTCCGAAAACTTGAATCAGCTATGAGGCCTCGACATAGCAACTGACACTATAGACAATGCAATGTTATATGCTTTAACAAATATGGTAATAAATTTCTTTTAATGACGTCACAAACTAACAATTCATAATAAAACAAGTTTTATTCTTCTGTTTGACATTTGTATATAAGATAATTATGAATAACCTAAACCATTTGTTACCAATCCAATCACAATTGACGGAGAAGCTTTGGAAGATGTAAAAACCTTTACATATTTGGGCAGTATCATCGATGAACAGGGTGGATCTGATGCAGATGTGAAGGCACGGATTGGCAAAGCAAGACCAGCATATCTACAACTGAAGAATATCTGGAACTCAAAACAATTAGCAACCAACACCAAAGTCAGAATTTTCAATACAAATGTCAAGACAGTTCTACTGTATGGGGCGGAAACCTGGAAAACTACGAAATCCATCATCCAAAACATACAGGTGTTTATTAACAGTTGTCTACGCAAAATACTTCAGATCCGCTGGCCGGACACTATAAGCAACAACCTACTGTGGGAGAGAACAAATCAGATCCCAGTGGAGGAAGAAATCAGGAAGAAGCGCTGGAAGTGGATAGGACACACATTGAGGAAAACACCGAACTGCGTCACAAGACAAGCCCTCATATGGAATCCTCAAGGTCGAAGGAGGAGAGGAAGACCAAAGAATACATTACGCCGAGAAATGGAGATAGATATGAGAAAAATGAACAAGAATTGGATGGAACTAGAAAAGAAGGCCCAGGACAGAGTGGGTTGGAGAATGCTGGTCGGCGGCCTATGCTCCATTGGGAGTAACAGGCGTAAGTAAGTAAGTAAGTAAACCATTTGTTAGTTAACAGTCTATAAAGGAATCTGGTTTGTGATTTTATTAAACCAAACTCTAGGGAAACGTATTTATGATGTAACTTTAAATAAAAAACCGAGCAAATTCGAATACACTTGTTTAGTTATCATTTCTGTTGTTCATATACAATAGAAGTGGAAATGGAACCATTAAATTGTCATTTACAATACAAAAGGTTTTAAGTTCAGTGTTTTACACTCATCCATGTAATCGGTATACTGTGGTGTCTGTCATTATGTTAAGCCCAAATACCTTATTATTCTAACTTTCGGACAGCCCATTCTATTCATTCTATTTGAGTCACATTCTGACCTTTTTAATTATTCGCTTTTCAATATCTTGACTGTCTTTGTATGAGCGCGTAGGCGTATGTACACTTCATATCCCGTTACTCATCACATGTCTGTAATTTATTTTTGTGGGCTTATAAATATTGATTAACTCTTTGTTAAGCGGGGAATTGGCCTACCAGCCATCTCCACCGCGCGCCAATTTAGCTTCGCTTTCTCATCTTCGCGTCGTTCTCCCGTTCGTTTGTCTAATCAACAATTATACGAAATATATGCATTCAAAACTCCATTCTCGTTATTTGACTTATTTAATTCCGTTATTAACTAACGCGATTTAAGTCAATGATTATATACGAGGATAGGTGATAGCAAACATTCATACAATCATACGATCAAATTGGAGTCAGATCACGGGCCACTAAAATACTACATGGAAATTAGTTGTGTTACTCTTTATGGTGTCAACCAACTTTATTTTTTGTCTGGTGTTATTCAGTCAAAGATATGTGATGAGCTTAGAAGTTAATATAGTTACATGGAATACCTTAAATTGTTCAATGATAAATAACATTTCAATGGATTCTATGTGAATTAAGTTCAATATTTGTTAGGTCTCGATAAGCATAATAAATGGTAACTTTTGGGATCCATTTATGGATCAATAATATGCGTATATTTTTATCGTATTCATATTCATATTCATGTCCCTCTTATTATAAGCTTTATTTTGACCTATAAACTATTATTATACGATCTACCATACTTGAATTATGCCCTGTCTATTAATTACTACCTCCCTCATTCACAGCCATATTTGGCTAATTCTTGTACAAATGTTGTTGCATATTTTATTGCCGAGGCTCGGATTGGTGTTCTGGACTCAACTGGCTGGGCTAGGCGGGAAGCAGGGTCAATAAGGACTCTGGACTGCTCATACGGGTTTACGCTTCATTCATCCGATCGATAAGTCACTGCTCTCTAATTGGCGGTATCATTGCATTATACATTAACAGGGCACACATGTCACAAGTTATAACAATATTTAGAAATATGAAAAATTTGGAAAACTCTATTCAATGATGGTATTAATTTATAGATATGATCAAAAAGATTATAACCGATAACGTGGTAACTATTCTCATTAATAATCCTATGATTAATTAAGGTTTTCTTTGATAATAATTTTACATTCTTAGACTAACATATGTTGTACTTTTGTTATACAACTGGTTTTTCATTGTCATATTTGATTCATTTTGTTATTTTTTTAAAACAACTAGCGATTTTGTTTTGCTACAGAAAAAAAAAATTTTCTCAGCATGAAAATATTTGAAACTTTATGTTAAGATAATGGTTGGGGGAGTAGTCAATCGAAAATTCACTATCTTATGTCAACATAGTGCACGAAATGTCAAGTCAGCTAGACTAATGGTTACATTGTAACTTGGTCAATAGGATTTGATCTGAACTAAGAAGGACTTGATATATATGACATTGATTACCACCCAGTAATCAGTCAATTATAGAAACGTTATGCACAAATCAATTCCAGAAAAAAATGAGAGAATATTCTGATAGACAACATTTTAAAATCATTATTTATAGCATTCACTTATTACTGAGGATATAATTGTACTGTCTTCTTTAATCTTCAAACTAAGCTTACAAAATAAGGTAAAAAAAACTTTTGACAGTCTGTCAGTTGTGATTAATTCTTTTCTGATCATTCACAAATGTTTACAAACTTATGTTGAAATAACAAAATAATCAGATGAATAGTAGAAGGATCGACATATTTCTAACGCTGATTAGAAAATGAGACTGAACAAAGAAAAGAAGACATAACTGAGAAATAAGTGATGAATTAATAATTGAATCTAAAGATCTAAATCATGATAATGAAGAAGTGTCATTTTTTTTACCTAAAACCTTGTGTTAGTTACAGGACTACACATTCGATCATTTCTGTTAGAAATAGTCAAATGAATAAAAGAAATATGATACTTTGAAAAGCATTATTTAATGAATGTATTGCCTTAACTAGAAGTTTTCATTCAACACCATTACTATTGTTATATCATTTAATGTTCATCAATTATATATATATTACTTAGTATTGTACTACAAATAATCTGGTTTTTTACAAAGTGACATTTCTTATGGTGAGTTGTAATGTTTTACTTAATATAAATAATACTGTGAGTTTTAAAAATTGAACATACAATTCACGTCGATTGACATTTGTGTTCTGATTTGAAGTTGAGGAATATAAGGAATTTTGAGGAGTCTGTCAGATTAAGTAAATACCAATTATTATCAAAATCAGGAGAAATAATAAAAACTTCATTATATTAGAGTATTGATTTGAGAAGACTTATATTTGGACAGAAGTAACCTAAGAATGTTCTAGGTATTGATAATTGAAAATGAAATTTAGTTAACATGTTTGTTAAATTCCAATGAGACTATAATTTTTGGACGACATTTTAGCGATTCTTAAATTACCTTGAGGAAATATCATATCACGTAACATATACTAGTATTCTTATTGTACCCTGATGGACATTGTTCGATTAACATCAAACAACAGATAGCATGATCAAAGATAATAATAAGAAGCGAAAATGACTGTAGTAAAAAAAACCCAAATGATTTTCTAAAAACAAAAAGAAAAATATAATAAATTTATTGTATACAGTTAAATATCAGCTTACTTTTTATTCATTAGAACATATATGATGGGATTGTACATTGAATTACTCATTGCTAACCAATAACAACATATAAATACAATCGGTAAACTATGACTACTTTTGATTGTTGGACTTAATTGTAATAGAATGAAAAATAATTGATATGGAAGCCAACAGATTGCAAATATCAACATAACTGCACATAACATTTTCACTGCCTTTAAGAGAAATGAAACGGTTAAATATTCAAAGGAATTTTTTTTCCAAAAAATGCTTCTGATAAACAAATTAACAAATAAATTGAACTTAGTTATTACAATAAAGTCCATAGATCTTTATTAGTATTAAGACAATGTATGTCTTGTTATAGTTTATATTTAGTAAGTTAATGACCACACGATGTGAGCTACAGGATTTTGAGGATATATACATATAGAAAGTACTTGAGCAGAATCACTGATAAACAAAGAGGATCTGATGCAGGCAGAAAGGCATGGATTGTCAAAGTAAGGACAGTATTCCATCGGTTAATGAAAATATGGAACTCAAAATGAATGTCAATCAATATTGAAGTCAGTTCTACTGTACAGTAGTGTAAGTTGGAGAACTATCACTATCATCATCAAAATGCAGAAGTATTTATAAAGAGTTGTCTACTCGAGATACTTAATGTCCGTCAGCCGGATACCATCAGCAACAGCTCCCTGTCGGAGAGGACAAACAAGCTTCCAGCTGAAGAGGAAATTAGGAAGTGACGTTGAACTTGGATAGCATATAAGTTACGGAAGTCACCAAACTGCAACACGAGGCAAACGCTAACTCGGAATCTTGAAGGAAAACGGAAAAGAGGAAGACCGAAGAATATGTGGTGTGTGCTAATTATGTAGACACAAGTAGTATGTAGTGTTAGTAGCGAACAGAATGTCTGGCAGCAGAGAGACAGGAAGATCGAAAAGTAAAAGACGAAAACAGAATGCAATTATTATGAAAATGCAAGAACAATGAAGTCTGAGTTATTTCGAGACAATTGATGGGCATTTTACAAATTGAGCATTTAATATATGCTTGTTAGATTTTACTAACAAGTTCTGTAATTTGTTGTCTAATGCATTCGATTGTTCCCCACCCGTGTTCTGTTCACGACAAATACACTTCTGCGGGAATTGGAAGCAAACATGAAAAAACCAATAGCAACTGAAAAGGATTGTCCAAGGCAGGTTTGGATGAAGAATTTTATTTGGGTGGTTTATTCTCCTCTACGAAGGTAACATATGTAAGTAATTAAGTAACGTACAAAAACTCCACGAGTTATTATTAAACTAGTAATTGGGTATGGTATTAACTAGATTTAAAATATTAATACGTTTTGATGACAGAATAATTATTACAGTGATAAACTTACTAAATTTATTTTTGTAAAGACCGTGCATACATCACGCATAAGTGAAAACATTTTCAGACGATTTCACTGTATGAGACGTGGCGTTTAATGTTTCCTAAACAATTCCTTATTACTTTGTAAGGCAGAACTCATGTTTTGTAGTTCTACTACTGTGTATCTGTGTAACTACCCGGAACTTTCTGCTCACAATCATGTAATATATTAATCACTATTTTTGAAACATTACATTACAAAACCTATGCTGTACTTAGCACTTATTCCATCGGAATTCTGAAACAAGTTTAATTCTAAGTTTCTACTGAACAGTTAAGACGCAACATTACTTAAGACATTATTAAAAGGAATAATTAAATAATATTGAATTACTTACTCTTCTTTTTGACTGAACATTTTGTGCTTGTGCCCTAGTGACTTCACCAAGTCCTCTATGAAACCATAAATGAATTGATATTGGAATATAAGTTGTGGCAAGTATGATAAGAGGAAGAACATACATTAACACAAAAAGTGTATAATCGTACCTATAAAACAAATATAATGAACAACAAAACATTATTCCCATTTTTACAAAAAACTTCCATAATTAAATTATCGTTTTATTAAAAAATAAAACGTCGTACTGTAATGTATAAAAACACAGATGGGTACAACTAATGTATTCTAATACATAATTACACATTATTTTGGGAAAACATGAAAACCATACACTGAATACTTTATTTGCTCATATTCAGCATTAGTCCTTCACATTCTGTATGATACTTCAAGTTCACCATATCCTTATACTCTTTTCAACGCTATCTTCTTAACTTTCTGCTTACAGGTTTTCCACTTCCAATTGGTGCTACATACTATCTATGACGACAGTCATAGATAGTACATACCACAGTATATATATATATATATATATATATATATATATATAATATTATTGGTAATTATTTAAAACTTATAGTTCAATGCTTAAAGTAGGTATCATTTGTAAATATTTAGTGTTGTTTTTAAAACTTTTTTTTCGGCGAGGCTATAATTTATGGACGAACCAATCAGGCATAGGATAAGAGATCTTGGATTTTGGCTCGAAATTCATTCATCTGTTTGGTTAAATATCGTTTTGGCATTTTAAGTAATGTCAGTTCGTGATGAAAAACTGTAAATCTAATTTCTTACCTTAACCATCAATTATAAATCATAATCCTTATTCTTCAAACTGCTTCATAGTCCTCATTTATCTCTAGTAAGTAAATAGACATTCTCAAGGTCATTTTAGCGTCACTCAAATGTTGTCCGTAAATTATAGTCTTACCGCTTTTACATTAAATGGAAACGTTGCTTCTCTGATGGTGTTACGATAAACACTATTTTAAGTTGTTATCTTAGTAACTGTTTGCAATATATTGAATAATGCCATAGATCGTAGATGTTTTATTGAGTTGAAATGAAGTTTCCGTAATAATTATCATTTTTATGAGAAAATCGGTATACTTGCAACAACTTTAGTTGTTAGTAAAGCAAAGACATTGTCCAAAACGATTGATGTACTGATGTATTAACATTCGGGATTTCATTAAGATTGTGGACACTCTATTTGCATTCACATACTATGTTAAGTATCCTAACAACGACATTAACGTGTCATATTTAATGTGAGGTCTTAACTATAATAAATGTGCTAACACTGTTGTTAAAATTATAGTGAAAATAAATCACAAGTAGTGAAATGATGAATAATATTTGTTTAAAAAGTAATTTGACAAATGACAGCAAACATTTTGCTTGTAGACTGATTACGCCTGTCACTGATGAGCGATAGCCTATAATTTACTTGAGTACTTATATGACTGTATCAGACTAAGCTGTGTTTAATAATATCTTTTTCATCCATACACTGACTTGCTTTGAGAAGACATTTTAATACATATAACTAAAAATTGGTAATATTTGACATTAAGTTATACTGTTCTTCATTCCCTGTACATAATATACTCAGTTTTATGGTATTTTGTAACTTTGGAAATTAGATAAGTGTTAACTTCATTAAATTATATCATAACACATTTCTGATATTATTGGCATGAACAAACAGTTGGATCACTCATTTCCTAACTGTTTTAGATCTGTTTTAATTGGATAACTTTGAATCCTAAATCTTTACACTCATACGTCCTAATAAAAACCTTACAATATCCCTATGTTGAGCACCGGAAAATTCAAATAAAAATACGATGTCAGCATATTTTCTTTTATATTTGCTTCGTGGAGAAACAAAGCGCGAATTAATTAAAATCAATAAATCTGATATTTTATGAATGAAAGAAATTTTTGACAATCAGAACGTAAAATAAACGTTTTTGACTGATGAAAGTTACATATACTGACTGGTGAAGGACAGGAGGTATATTTTCCTCAGAAAGGGGTTTTGTGGATATAAAAATTTAATAGTTGAATTCACGATTGAATTAAAGGTAGACCAACGTAGGAAACCTGGAAGCATTAGACGGCCGTTTCGTCGTAGTATGGGAATCGTCAACACTACGGATCCAAGATTAATTACCGATGTCACTTATATTAACAATGGGATAATAATTTGTGTTGGAAACTTTTTACTGTAGTAATATTTAAACCAATGCTCACAGAGAATACTTTTATTCTCAGATAATTCATCAAAAAATATTGACATCCTTAGAGCTTCGATGTTCCAACAATTAATATAAATAAATTTAAAACAAATAATCCCCTTCATAAATTTCGATAATGCAATGAGAAGGCGAAGGTCATCCGAATTATGTGACATACTAGCGTAATACATTTCGAACAATCTGATCACACATATACTTGTTAAGAACATTTTTAGATGAAAAATAAAAGGTCAACTAAACAAGTTGAAGGTAAGCCGTAACAAAGAGAAATAAATTACACAAAAATAATGTGATAATCAGCATAACCAGGGCATGTTAAGAGTAAGAATAAATTGTTTTTGAACACATAAAGGGGGTTACAGTTTCCCTAGAGCTCGTCTATTCACAAGACTTTGTTTCACATTGTTTTGAATTATAGGTCCATTATTCGAGTTACTTCTTGACATAACTTACAGTGTCACTTATAGAATAAGACACTTGAATTATAACCTTAAAATGAAAATAAAAGTAAGCTAGTGTACCAACCCTTTACAAAAGGTCATAGAATTAGTACTATTTACTATTTTGGTTCTATTGAATAATTGATGTTATTATCATTATATGAAACTCATTGTAAATAGACTTACAGAGAGTGATTATACATTTAACTACAAGTATTTTAGAAATATTTGAAAGCGAATTGTTATTATCGTAAACCTTGTCATTTAAACTGGTTAATTTTAGAAAATGATATCATGTAAACTATTATAGATTTTATCAGTGGTCTGTATGTTAAACATAACGGAATCACTTGGTTTCCCATTGATTTGCATAAATACAAGCTTTAAAGTGTTTTATTATCCTGAATTCATGTATCAACATAACTATCTTTCTGGGTCATATCTTGATAAATGTTACTATATATAATAACGTTTACTATGGTTAACTGAATTTTGGATTTAGGGAGGAAAATACTTCAGCATTTGCTACAAAAAATTACAAAGAATTTTGTTCTTGTAAATGGATTGAAAATCTATGATGTAATTTAGTGTCCTGACAAAATTAATTCCAGGATCAAAGTCAATTTAGGTTGTATAGAGAAAGAAATTAGTATTTAACTTTCTTAATTTTTATAGATCGTTTTAAGATGATTTGTACAGTTTATGTATGGTAAAAATGAGTGGATGTTAGTTAACAGTGGAATCCAGGACGTTCGTCTCATCCTATTTGGGACTCATCAGCTGGATGTACCTGCATCTCAGAGTTGAAATTCACTCCGGGACTCAAAACCAGTAACGATTGCTCCAAATACCATTGTTTTATCCAGTTACCTACTGATTCGTGATAACCATTAGCTTGTGCAATGGGGTGAAGTTTACATTCATTTTGTAAAGTGTTCCGTTAAATTTAGTTATGAAGTGTATATGTGTCACAGCCGTGTACCACACATAGAAACTGATATACTTAAGAGCGTTACGCAACATGTTTTTATACTTTTGTTAAGCTGTAACTAATGAGGCAAATCGAAACAGGATCTAGGAAATCACTAGTATTACTCTTGCTCATTTTAACATATGTTGTACAGTATTGAATAAATATAAAACCACCATTTCGAGTGTGACAGGCGTATGTTCTCTTCAATACAAGTTTCAAGGTAAATAACTGATGTTTACTAATGTTTATGACGGCCAGAATATTTGGAATTATTATCAGATAACCAATTTGTTTTTTAAAACCACCAATAACTTACGCTTCAGACCACTCTGATGACCAGTTAAGAATACAATCATTTGAAACGTATTGATCAGGTGAGTTAATCGAGATCTGTTTCACCACAACAAGTAAATCTGTACTATTTGCTATATTTTGTAAGTTTGATAAGTTTTTTGGATAAACCGTAGCTACAATTAAACCAGGCAATCCGATTGCAAACGAAATTAACCAAATAGCTGCAATTGCACAAATAACTGTCTTCAGTTTTGAACGTGGACGAAGAGGAAACATGATTGCAGTATATCTAGAATGGCAAAACACATATTAGGTTAAAAATAGTTAACACTTCAATCAGTTCGTGCCAATTAGACAGTTTCCTTACATACATACAGAAGAAACAGGTATTGCCTTGTGCATGAATAAATTTATTTTTAGCGTGGGACGCTTGTAAAGAGTGATGAATTTTTTATAGTTTTTATTACGGACTGACATCATTTAATCATTTGAAACCAGGAAGCACCGTAGAACTGCTTTATCTTAGTATAGGACCCATCGATAACGTACGTCCACGACCCAACCAAGAAACTTCGATCTCGTGTCGAAAGCTTGACATATATACCACTGACTCAAAGCCCAGTTGTATACATTTCTAACTTCAATCAGTTCACGATACTGGGCAACCATCTTACATTGTAAGCGGTGCTTAACTGTTTCACACTAAATATTGCTGTAACCCACTGATGATGGGTTTCTACAAGAACTCCTGGAGGAACCTCTAGATTTAAGTTATTAGTGGGTATACAAAGCCGAAGGTTCTGGATCTGATTCTTCATGGCCTAGTGGACGTGTAATAATCGTAAATTTCAAATACTAGTGAGCTCGCATCCAGTGGTCTAACTTCAACCACTTCACTGTATTACGCAATCTTCATCTATAGTCTGCGGTGGTTAAATTCACTTAGTATTGTTCACTTGAATCTTCCCATTGATGCTCAGGATTGCAATTGATCAGTTTCTTATTGACATGTATGCATACTGTATGTATTGCCTCGATATTGCCTTAATTCACAAGCATTATAAGCAAAGATGGATGGTAGCTATCAGTGGAATCCAGGACGCGTGTTTCATCCTTTTTGGAACTCTTCGGCTGGGTGTAACAGCATCTGGGTTCGATTCCATGACTGAACGTAAACTCTGAAATGCAGTTACTACCAGCTGACGCGTCTCAAATAGGATGAAACGCGCGTCGTGGATTTCACTGCTAGCTATTACGAATTCTGAATTTTTAAGGCTTATTATGTTTGGACTGAAAAGAAGAGGATTTCACAGTCAGTATTTTTCCTCTACTAACTAATCATCATTTATCAACGTTTATAGAATGTACCATTCTAATTTCAAAGAATAGTTTTGTTAATGCATTGATCTAATCAAACAGTTTGAAGCTATGCACAACAATTAAAATGTTAAATTATCAAACACTTTTAACAAAATGAGTTTCTTAAGTATATCACATCACCTTTATCTAAATATTTACGCATGATTGATAAATTAATAAACCTGGAAAATGAACCACATACTGAGTAATGAAAATTACGTTTGTAATATAAAGTATCATTGTATCATTGATCACTCTAAGATAGTATACTTGTTATTACAGTATATTAAACCGTAAATCTAAAGATTATGCATACTTGTCATGATTTGTAATAAAGGTTAGTATTCTACATAGTAAATTATACTAAACTCATATAGTCTCTATTCATATTCAAACAGATAAATTATAAGTAATAATGAATTCATTCAAATGTAGTCAATACTTTTTAAATACATAACTCCGGAAATGAAATAAAGTACTTCGAAATAAAGAAATGATGTTGGAGTTTTTTGAAAAAAGAAACTGTGCTTAATTATTTCTACAGAGACTAGGTGATAAAAAAACGGAAGAATACAAAATGAGGAAAGCAAAACATAAATTGAACTATGTATGCCATTCTATTTTTAATGTTGTGTTAGATGTAGCTAACAAGTTAAATGTATATATATATATATATATATATATATATATATATATATATATATATATATATATATATATATATATATATATATATATATATATATATATATATATGTAATCTTTCTCAATAGATCAGATCATGAGTCAGTTGAAGCTAGATCATCATGGAAAATCTGGCCATTTCGTCCTATTATAGTACTCCTCAGCAATGCGCGTCTACGGTCCCACCTCGCGAGATTCGAACGCAGGATCTATGGGTCCCGTGCAGCTCCTGACCACTGAGTCAGCATCCAAAGGTGTTAATGTCTGATTTCAACTAATCCACAAAATTGAGCGACACATCCATTCTTTCGAACTTATAGAGGCAAATGCAATATTGTTAAGTTAGTGTATTAAAATTTAAAAAAAATTCTACTGTACGTGTATAGACTTAGTGACACTTGGAACAGGTAAATCTTCGTACCTGTACAATGTAAATAAGATGGTAAAAATTGATTCAGACGAAGATTTATTCGCCTTTTAGTAACATAATGGGAAACTTTAATTACACTTACTTGTTTAAATATTGGTTCTACTAACATTCAATGCTAAAAAAACACATGATACATATCATACTGTGGAATTCAAACGAAATTAATACAGAAAATATTATACTGAATATTTTTCATAGAGAAATAAAATCACTGTTATACAAATATGAAAGTAAGTTTGGAGAAATAATATACTGCATTAAAAGACGATATCGCATTTCTATCCCATCTTAATAGTCTCATTTTGATGGGTACCGCTTGGAAACATTTATTATTACGATTTAGATAGCGTATAACAGCTAATTTGTAAAAAGAATTCTTTCATTAATGCAAAGTAACATTCAGCTTTGTGCAATAGGATTACTTAAAAAATCTCATATTGTGATTTAAAACAACACATATAAGCGACCAATATTGTTTTCGATTAGATCCATATCAGGCTTTATACTAATAGGCAGTAATATTTATATGCATATACGAAATTATTAAACCAATCAAGAGAGTTTATGATTCAATGACAACATTGGAATAGATTACATAAATAAGTGAAAAAGTGCGAATTCGTAGTGTGATGACAGGAGTACTAGTTCTGATAAGAATAGTAAAGGCTTGAATCAATGTTACAACAGGAAAACACAGAAATAAACAGTTGATTCAACCCAATAACACATTTTTAGTGAAGTTCATTGAAACTTTCAACCAATCAAGTACAATACATCTAACAATATCGATTTTTGTTCTTGATATCTATCAACAACTTTCTCAAAACATAATTAACGGATTTCTGTTAATTCTTCGAAAGAAAAATATTCAACTACTCTATTTGAAATAAGTAACGTTAGTAAGACCAACGTTCCTATTGAATCATATCAAGTGCTAAAGAAGTTATTATTTGTAGATATAACGGTTGAATATTAATATTTTATGATCAATAAATTAAATAGTATAATTATTTCTTTTACTTGTAGTTTGGAAAGTAAGTCCGAATTTATTTGTATAATGCTGTGAACCGGAATAATAATATGTTTCTCTTTGATGTAACTAAGTTCTGTATCTTTAAAAAAACTTATCAAGTTATCAAAAACAAAATATAAGCACCTTATTTAGGATAAAACAGATGTTTGTAATGAGCTATTAATAGATAGTAAAAAGGGAACAGGTTGAGTTCAATATGAACGTCTATTTTTGACTTGACTGTAAATGATTTTCGATAGTGAAATAAGATGACGAAGATTATTAGAACTGTCGAAATTTATCAAAAACGGACTAATTACTGTAAATCACTTGTTTTATTCTAATAATACGTATTTTGTCCCACATAATACCAGTTCTTACTATATTCAGTCATGACCAACATGGTCTCGTGTGCTATTGCGGTTGTGAAGGCTGATGTCACTTCCTGGCTGCCCACACCGTGGAAGGGTATTTTTCGAAGAACACGAAAAAAATTTGGATTAGTGTTGGTCTTAATGATCTGGCAGCGTGGCCTCAGAGCCCAAGGAACAACTGCTTGAGGCCGATCGCGCACGGCCTTTACGTGGGAGGTTTTCAACATATTAGCTCCGTTTTTCAAGAGGCCATATGGAGATCCGTGAGGTAAGGTGAGGTGTGACATTTTCGGAGTCGACCTTTTCTAACCCCTTCCTTCCTTGTGAGAAGGCAGCATCGATGCAGATGCTGGTTGTCTGAGTGAAACACCTTACTGCTGTCACATCCCTCTACAGACAGTAGTATGATTTCGCCCTCAGACCTTGAGTTGTTACTTTTAGTCTTACCGTTCTCCAATCGACCTGCCTGGCATGGTAGAACCTACAGGAACATATGTTTCACCCACTATAGCTCGGTTTAGTCACCACGATAGGCAAGCCCGATCACCCCGTCAAGACAGCGGCTACGGTCTGGCCATATTCAATTTTTGCAAATCTAAAATGTAATGTATTGTACACGACATCTAGTGACTATATCGTTAAATGTTTAACATAAGAGTCACTTATAAGCATAATACTTATTTTTAATAACTCAAGAATGTAAAAATATTACATAATTAATTTCCTTGAGGGTAACCTCTTTAAAAATTTGAGTCGGATATTTTTCAAATGGGAATATATTCAAATTAATCTTCTGATTTTCGAACTCTTTGAATCGAATAATTATGAACACTGAACGTGTTTATTTCTGCATTATTATCAAACGGTCAAAAAAATATTGAAGTATTGCATACTCAAATAAAAACACTTCAGCTCTTGAAGGGTTTTTCTTCTTTTTATTTTCTTTCTTTCGATAAGACGAGAGCTTTATATAGTGGAATTAAAGTATCATTTATATGAAGGATAAAGGAATAATTAATGCAGTCTAATTGGTAGGGAACTTTAATTACTGAGTATGAATGCCAGATACTGACTGCTAAAAACGTTTAGAAATGTATTTCAAACAACTACAATCTAAATATTTATATGTTTGTTATCAGAATGAGGGTTTGTGAAAATTTTAGTAATTTAATAGTTGATTTATGCCAGAACACCATGGAAAACCTGGAAGGACTAGACGGCCGTCTCGTTTTGCTGAAAAGTCCGATACTAGGACGAAATGGCCGTCCAGTGCTTTTGTTTTCCCTGATGGTTTAGCTTAAATCAACCCATGAATTCAACTATTAAAATATCTATATGTGTTAAACAGATATTTGTAAAAAAGTTTATTGTATTAGTTAAAGCTATCATTTGGAATAAGTAATAAAGTAAGTAATCCCTATTTACTGTCA